GCGCGCGTATGGGACCAGGCCTCGCTGCCGCCGTCGCTCGGTGGGATAGGCATAACTGATCCCCTAGTTGAAGGGGTATACGGATTCGCGGCTAGCTTCACACAGGCCGCCTGCTTTCTGTCCACCCTCGAGCTGGGACCCGAGAATGCTTTGGCGCGGGCGCTGCTTCACATGCTACTACCGCGAGACAGTGGCACGCTGCTGCACGCTTGGCTTGCAGCGTGCGAGGCGGCGCTGCCCCTCGATGCTCGGGAACTGCTGGAGAAGGAGCGGCTCGAACGGTCCGATGTGAGGCTACAGCATGTACTCGGCCTCAAGGTTCATGGGAGCAGATATGCCGTGCAAGTGGCAGCAACACGACGCATGAAGCTGAATCCGCTCTCTGGCCACACGCAGCGGATGTTCTCTCTCACGGGTTACGGCACAGGTGACTGGCTCACGGCCATCCCCATCGCAGCAACACGGCGTATCGGGCCAGTGCACTTCGCCAACGCGGTGCGTTTCCGGCTGGCCCTGCCCTTCTCAACGCCGAAGAAATGTGATTGCGCTGACCACACAGCTATCACCGACCCACGCCTCCCGAATCACCTCCTTCGCTGCGGCACGGGCAAGCACCGCATCAACACACACAATGAGCTACGGGACGCTTGCATCAGCATGGCGCAGGATGCAGGTTTTATTGTTCATCGGGAGTCGGCCGTTCACAGCCCCATCGAAGAGCAAGCGGCCGACTTCACGATGACGGATCGTAGCAGTGGGGCGGTGTACATCTGCGACGTCACGGTCACGGACCCCATCAGCACCCGGGATCCTGAGGCTCAAAAAGGCAGGGGGTGGGCGGCACAAGAGCAAGCAGACAAGAAGATCAAACACTACGCCAACCGCCCAGAGACGGTCGGCTTCTTCCCACTAGCGGTAGACACCTATGGCTGCCCATGCGCGGAGGTGCCCGTGTTCCTCAAGCTTCTTGCAGACACAGCGGCTCGGCGCCACTTCAACGCCGACTCAAAATCCTACTATGCCGCCAAGTTTCTGCACCAGTTTCGACAGAGATGGTCGGTGGCCCTTCAGAGGGCCCAATCTGTGGGCCTCCTTATCAAGTTGGGTGAGGCTGCAGCAGCAGAGAACCCGCCTGTGGGTGGTATAGGGCAGAAGTTGAATCTGGGGGACTGTTTTGCAGTAATAGAGCCCCTCCTGGAACTTTAGAGGGGGGGCAGGGGATAGTGTAGGATTTGCTTTCGTTACTACATTTGCTTCTATACCTTGCATGCATGTAATTGGCTGCCATATCAATACAAGGACCATTAGAGAGAGAGAGAGAGAGAGAGAGAGAGAGAGAGAGAGAGAGAGAGAGAGAGAGAGAGAGAGAGAGAGAGAGAGAGAGAGAGAGAGAGAGAGAGAGAGAGAGAGAGAGATGATGAGAGAGATGAGCGAGAGAAGAGCCATTCCCGTAGCTAATTGTGACTCCCACTACTCACTGTGTTTCGGAGCAAGAGCGCAAAAGACGGAATTGGCAGTCTTGGGGATCTTCATGGTGCTGCACATGGGAAAGGGGAGGAGCATGACAGCAGCATGCGGTTGGTGAGCACGAGCTACTGCACGAGCTACTGCACGAGCTACTGTAAGAGTAAAAGCCAGATCCCGCACCATGCGAGTGACAGTTGCGATGCACCCTCATGGCAAGAACAAGGGAGCATCACGAAGCGGGGGGGGGGGGGGGGGGGGGCAGCAGGAAGCAACAGGAAGCAGCAGGAAGCAGCAAAGAGAAGTAGAAACGAGGGCGGGAAGCAGCATGGAACAGCAGGGAGCAGCATGAAGCAGCAGGGCTGGGCGGCGGAGAGCTCACGTGGATTTGCGGGGGCGATCGCTCAGGGAATCGGCATCGGGCTGGGTCACTTTCTCGACAGCGTTGCCGTGGCAGTCGGCGCTAGCAAAGAACTGCACCTCCTTGCACGCGGCGGCCGGGGCGGCACCCGTGGCACTGGCGCTGGCGCTGCTCGGATTGCCCATGTCACCGCCCGCCTTTCTCGGTGCGTTGCTGTTCCGCGCCTGTCGGTCCCACCAGACCGTGACGCTCTGTTCTGCATTCGCGCCGCCGCTCCCCTTGGCGGGTTTTAAGTTCATGCAGCGAAGCGCATCGAATGTGTAGTCTGAGCTTTCAACGGTCACCATGGTGGCCACAGCTACCTCGGGAGTATCAACAATGGTGCCGCTGGTGGTATTAGTACCAGTCGTAGGGGTGGAAATAGTGGCATTAGTAGGTGGGGGCGGAATAGTGGTATTCGTAGGTGGGGGAGGAATAGTGGTATTAGTAGGTGGGGGAGAAATAGTGGTATTAGTGGGTGGGGGAGGAATAGTGGTATTAGTAGGTGGGGGAGGAATGGTGGTATTAGTAGGTGGGGTAGGAATAGTGGTATTAGTAGGTGGGGGCGGAATAGTGGTACTATTAGTAGGTGGGGGAGGAATAGTGGTATTAGAAGGTGGGGGAGGAATAGTGGTATTAGTAGGTGGAGGAGGAATAGTGGTATTAGTGGGTGGGGGAGGAATAGTGGTATTAGTAGGTGGGGGCGGAATAGTGGTATTAGTAGGTGGGGGAAGAATAGTGGCATCAGTAGGTGGGGGAGGAATAGTGGTATTAGTAGGTGGGGGCGGAATAGTGGTATTAGTAGGTGGGGGCGGAATAGTGGTATTAGTAGGTGGGGGAAGAATAGTGGTATCAGTAGGTGGGGGAGGAATAGTGGTATTAGTAGGTGGGGGCGGAATAGTGGTATTAGTAGGTGGGGGAAGAATAGTGGTATTAGTAGGTGGGGGAGGAATAGTGGTATCAGTAGGTGGGGGAGGAATAGGTAGAGGCTGTTCAGTCACCGCGGTGGTGGGGGTAGATGGGGACGGGTCAGTTTTGGGCTGCTCTTGACTGACTTTGGTGGTGGTGGTAGCAGTATCAGTAAGTGGGGTCGGAGTTTGTGGCACTTCTCCAGTGGTGGTAATAGTAGCATCAGGCGGGACAGGAGTTTGGGCCTGAACCAAGGTTTGTAGGCTTCATGCTGCCATATCAAGGCACACAAAGTGCAGTTAGTACAATCAGGAGGAAAAAAAAAAACAAAAGGGCGTGTCGCGTTTCGAAACGCTCCCAGATTTCCGTTCCACAGAAGTACCGAAACTGCTTACCGATGATAGCGAACGTAATAAAGAGCGTCACGAGAGCGGTCTCCTTGTGATTCGTCATCGTGGTGGAGATGAGCACGGTCGGATGTGGAGTTGCTAGTCCTGCTATTCCAGCAGAGGGTCTTCGGAAGTGTAAGGTAGGATGACCGTTCCGAAAAACCAGTAGCGCGAAAAATCCAGCTCCGCGAAGATGAGATTACAGGGCTAGTAGCTGTAATGAGGGAGCTGTGTGATGAGAAGGCTAAATCAGAACGCGCGAATCCGCTCCGATTTATCTTCCATACCAAGCTAGGCGGAACATTGCGGCTCGGGATACTCTGCACTCCAAATACCTGCTCGTGCGACGGGCAGTCGCAAGTGGTCAGGCGACACACACACGCGTTCAGCTGTGCTCGTTCATTGGCTTACGATCAAAACTCCCATAATGCAATCTTCGTGTAGCTGAGAATGCAATAGCTTCCTGAATCTATTGACTTGGGAAGACCTATCAGAAGTGCTCATTGGTGTGCGACCACACCTCTCGCTAGTTCTCATTGGTGGGCTCATCTCTCGTCTGCATTATTGGTGAGGCCTCTTGAGCGAACAAATTGGTGAGCTGTCAACGAAACAATAATGCAACCATGTTACCGGTATCATCTAGCAATGAAACTAGTTCCTCTCCTTGCAAATAATGTAAAAAGCAGTCATTGAATTTTTTTTTTTCCAACATGTTGACATACTACGTCTACCGTATGACAAGGCTGAACTGAAGCATGTTAGAACTGAACTCAGGGACTCGTTGTGAAACGGATTTGTTGCACGGCAGGACTTCCCCAATGCTATACGTTTCAAACCCCCCTGTTCTAGTGCATCGCTCCTGAGCTTCTGAGCATGAATGCAGCTTTTCTTCTATCTTGGGCAGCAGGGTATCTACTCGTTGCTGATACTTTGCGATGTGGTGACGCGGCCATGAGGATTGTTGTGACGTTTGGCATGTAGACACGATTACCTAAGGCCCATTATCGACCAGATCCACCTAGAAGCACTGGTATGAAAGCGTTTGTAACCCGGCCATATATACTCAATATATGTTATACAAAAAGGAGGAAGACCCCAGCCAACAAGGCCCAGCCCACCAAAATAGGTAACAAGGATGGAATGGCGGAGAGGACAAGCAAGAAGTGGCGATCCACAACAAGCACTGCCAAGAATTGAGCGGAAGAACTCTCCTAAGTGGCGATCCACAACAGGCGTTGCCGTCAACATCTTGCAGAATCTGCCAGCTGTACTTCTTGTCAGTGGTCTGCACGTTCGGTTTAGAGGAAGAGACAAGCACATGGGTGTATTGAGTATGGTCGGAAGCATGCAAAAGGTACAAATGTGCAAGTGTGTGTGCGTGTATTGATAGATATATAACTGTATATGGGTCTAATTGCAGCGAGAGAAAGAGATTTCCCGTAGTCATTCGTGACTATGATTACTCACTGCGAATGGGACCGGCAGTGCAGAAGACGGACTTGGCAGTCTTGGGAATCTTCTTGGTGCTGTCCATGGGGAAGGGGAGGAGAATGGCAGCAGCATGGGTTGGTGAGCAAGAGCTAGGGCCAGATTTTACACCATGGGAGTGCCAACGGTTGAGATCTGTCCCGTGGCAAGAATAGTGAAGCATCGGGAAAGATCAGGAAATAGCAGCGTTAAGAAGGAATGAGCAGGGAGCAACAGGGACGTAGCAGAGAGTACAGAGTACCAGGGGGCGGCCTGAAGCAGCGGAAAGCAGTGGGGAGCAGCGGGGAGCAGCGCAGAGCAGCAGGAAACAGCGCTGAAGAGACAGGAAGCAGCATGGCTGGGCGGAGAGCTCACGTGGCCTTGGGGAGGCGGAAGAACTTGCGCATAGGATTGGCTTTGGGCTTGATCATTTTGTCAACAGCGTAGCCGTCGCAGTCGGCGTTGGCGAAGAATTTGAGCTCCTTGCATGTTGCCGTCGCCGTCGTCGCCGTCTTTCGGTCCCACCACACCGTCACGCTCCGCTTCGCCGCGTTTGCGCCGCGCGCGTTGCTGGGCTTGAGGTTCACGCAGCGAAGCGAATTGAACGCGTAGGACGAGCCGCCGACAGTCATAGTGGTGCTCACAGCTACCTCGGGAGCAGCGCCAAGGGTGGGGATTGTGCCACCGGTACCGATGCTGGTTACTGTGGTGTCGTCAGTGGTGGAATCATCATTGAGATCATCGGTAGTGTCGTTATTGAGATCATCGGTGGTGTCGTCATTGAGATCATCGGTGGTGTCGTCATTTAGATCATCGGTGGTGTCGTCATTGAGATCATCGGTGGTGTCGTCATTGAGATCATCGGTGGTGTCGTCATTGAGATCATCGGTGGTGTCGTCATTGAGATCATTGGCGGGGTTGTTGAGATCATTGGCGGGGTTGTTGAGATCATTGGTGGGGTTGTTGAGATCCTTGGCGGGGTTGTTGAGATCATTGGCGGGGTTGTTGAGATCCTTGGCGGGGTTGTTGAGATCATTGGCGGGGTTGTTGAGATCATTGGCGGGGTTGTTGAGATCCTTGGCGGGGTTGTTGAGATCATTGGCGGGGTTGTTGAGATCTTTGGCGGGGTTGTTGATATCATTGGTGGGGTTGTTGAGATCCTTGGCGGGGTTGTTGAGATCATTGGCGGGGTTGTTGAGATCCTTGGCGGGGTTGTTGAGATCATTGGCGGGGTTGTTGAGATCATTGGCGGGGTTGTTGAGATCCTTGGCGGGGTTGTTGAGATCATTGGCGGGGTTGTTGAGATCTTTGGCGGGGTTGTTGAGATCATTGGCGGGGTTGTTGAGATCCTTCGCGGGGTTGTTGAGATCCTTGGCGGGGTTGTTGAGATCCTTGGCGGGGTTGTTGAGATCATTGGCGGGGTTGTTGAGATCCTTGGCGGGGTTGTTGAGATCATTGGCGGGGTTGTTGAGATCCTTGGCGGGGTTGTTGAGATCATTGGCGGGGTTGTTGAGATCATTGGCGGGGTTGATGAGATTATTGGCGGGGTTGTTGAGATCATTGGCGGGGTTGTTGAGATCAACCGGCGCGGGGTCGTTGAGATAATTCGCGGGTTGATCATCCGTGGGGACGTTGAAATCAATGTTGGTAGCTGCATCATTAAGTTTGCGCTGGTGCTGAACTCGATCGAGCGACGGCGTACTTCCGGCTGCCAAAGACTGGACGCTAAATGCTGCGATATCAAAACATGACGACAAGGTCGCGTAGATGCCGTTAGTACAATGAATAGACATTGCTTTTGGAACGGCTCCTAGAATGTCTCTTTCGTTGGGAGTTCTTACCGATAATAGTGAACGAAATAAAGAGCGTCAGGAGAGTCTTGTAATTCGCCATCGTGTAGAGTCACGCACGGTCGCAGAGAGTCTTCAGAGGTGTAAGCTAGGAACTAGTAGCGCGAAAATTACAGGGCAAAGAGCTGCGATGATGAGGGATTGTGTGACGGGGGGTTTGGATGATTTAGAATGTGAAAATTCGCTCCGCTTTATGTTCCATTCCATCCCAAAAGTCAGACATCGCGGCTCGCGATGACTCCGTGACGCACTTCTCCCGATGCCTGCTGCCTTACGACGGGTTCGATCGTGTTCAATGGTGCTCATTCATTGGTGCGCGATCGAAACTTTCATAATGCAACGTTCGTTTCGCTGGGCAGGCGATAGCTCCGACTTTGGGGGACCTCCGGGTGTAGTGCTCATTGGTTTGCGACTAAATTTCTCGCTATTGCTCATTGGTCGGCTCATTTGTCGCATGTATTATAGGTGAGGCGTCCGTCGAAGAATCAATAATGCAGTTGTACGACTGTTGATGTAAAGACAGGAAATCAAATAATGGAGGAAACCTCAAAATTGGATGACACCACCTCATCTCGCTATATATCTTGATGAAAATAAGTCTACCAGATTTATCAACCAAGATTGTTGGTCGCCTAGGACGCTCTGCAGCGCGCCAGCCAGCGAAATCGCCGCTTAGGTCGCTCTGCAGCGCGCCAGCCAGCGAAATCGCCGCTTAGGACGCTCTGCAGCGCGCCAGCCAGCGAAATCGCCGCTTAGGTCGCTCTGCAGCGCGCCAGCCAGCGAAATCGCCGCTTAGGTCGCTCTGCAGCGCGCCAGCCAGCGAAATCGCCGCTTAGGTCGCTCTGCAGCGCGCCAGCCAGCGAAATCGCCGCTTAGGTCGCTCTGCAGCGCGCCAGCCAGCGAAATCGCCGCTTAGGACGCTCTGCAGCGCGCCAGCCAGCGAAATCGCCGCCTAGGACGCTCTGCAGCGCGCCAGCCAGCGAAATCGCCGCTTAGGTCGCTCTGCAGCGCGCCAGCCAGCGAAATCGCCGCTTAGGACGCTCTGCAGCGCGCCAGCCAGCGAAATCGCCGCTTAGGACGAGCCTCAGATCCGGCGCTGCAAATCAGCGCCCCCACATTGAGACCGGCTGCCCAGGTGCGGGATCCACGCCCCGACATCGAGACACGTGACGTCACAGCGGAACCATGGAAGACAGCCCGGACCCCGGGGATGCCGGGGTCCGGGAGGGAGGAGGACGTGACGGCAAGGCGAAATGGGCCACCGGAAGCACGGAGGAAGGAATGACAACGATGACTTCAAAGGCGACCTGCCCAATAGCCGGGCACAAGAGGGGGAGAGAGCCTACGGAGCAGCAGGAGGGACCACTCGTCCGCGGCATGTGCGACAAAGTCACTAGGTGCCTCCACGACAATCTGACCAAGAGGCAACGCCTCGATACCGACCTAGGCGTGGCCACTAGAGAAGTGGTCGAAAGTGGCAATGGAGAGCACAGGCAAGGCAACACCTCCGACGCGGCGATGGCAGCTTGGGAGGCACATCGCCAGCGTCTACAGGAGTCGCATGACAAGCGTCGGCGAGAACTTAACACCCCTTTAGCACGCCCGGCACTCACTAAATGCGACAACTCGGCGACACGTGGTCCCCGATTAGCCCGAAGACAGGAACGGAGGCGCAAATCAGGAGTTCCGCGGGGTCAAGGGGAAGGAGCGCGGCGAGGCCCGCAAGCCCGGGGGCAGCAGGAGCCGCAGGCTGGGGGGGAGCAGGAGCCGCAGGCTGGGGGGGAGCAGGACCCGCAGACTGGGGGGGAGCAGGACCTGCAGGCTGAGGGGGAGCAGACGTTGGAGTTGGAGATGGAGATGAGGAGGCAATGGGAGCTGCCTACTGGAAGGCAGCAAAAGCTGCAGGCTGGGGGGCAGCAGGAGCTGCAGGCTGGGAGGCAGCAGGAGCTGCAGGCTGGGAGGCAGCAGGAGCTGGAGGCTGGGGTTGAATGGGACCCGCAGGTTGGGAAGGAGCAGGAGCCGCAGACAAAGGGGCAGCAGGCTTTGGAGGCGGAGATGGAGATGGGGGGGCAGCAGCAGCTGCCGGCTGGAAGGCAGCAAGAGCTGCAGGCTGGAGGGCAGCAAGAGCTGCAGGCTGGAGGGCAGCAAGAGCTGCAGGCTGGAGGGCAGCAAGAGCTGCAGGCTGGAGGGCAGCAAGAGGGGCCGACCTGGAGGCGGCAGGAGCTGCGGGCTGGGAGGCAGCAAGAGGGGTCGGCTGGGGGGCAGCAGGAGTCGCAGGCTGGGTGGGATTAGGACCGGCAGGTCGAGGGGCAGCAGGCTTCGGAGGCGGTGATGGTGATGGATGTGGGGGGGCAACAGGAGCTGCTGGCTGAAAGGCAGCAAGAGCTGCAGGCTGGAGGGCAGCAGGAGCCGCAGGCAACGAGGCAGCAAGAGCTGCCGGCAGAGGGGAAGGAAGACCCGCAGGCTGGGGGGGAGCAGGAGTCGGAAGTGGACATGGAGATAGAGATAGGAATGGTAACGGAGCAGCAGGTCGAGAGACAGCTTGGGCTGCAAGCTGAGTGGCCGCAGGTGTTGGAGGTGGAGATGGAGGAGGCACAGGAGGAGGGGGGGGGAGAGCGGCAGGGAAGCGTACAGGAGGGGTGTCAAACGGAGAATCAGTCTCAGCCGCAAGAAGGGGAGCAGCAAGGGTGTCGAGAAAGGAACCGGCCCCAAGAGCGTAGAAGCATGCAACTTGAAGAGCCGATCAGTGGGTTGCAAGAGCAACAGGCGCGGGTTCAGCAGGGGGTCGCTAGCCCGGGCGGCGCAGGCCAAGCGAAAAGGTCGCGAGCTCGGGGCCGAAGAGGGAGACGACACGCAGCCAAGTTGCAAGGAGCATCCCAGGGCGAGCAGCAGCCAGGGGGTCAGCAGGGGTCGACAAGGGCGCCTCAGGGGGTGCTGCAGGCCGGGGAGGTGCCGGAGGCGACAGAGGCAACCCAGGGAGGGTGGCAGACCGGTGGTCGGGCGGAGAGGACTAGGGCACCCCGGGGAGTGCAGCAGCCAGGGGGGCAGCCGGGGGTGACAGGGGGACCCCATAGAGCGCCCGGAGCACCCCAGGGAGCGCAGCAGGCAGGGGGGCAGCCGGAGGTGCCCGGAGCACCCCAGGGAGCGCAGCAGGCAGGAGGGGAGCCGAGGGTGCCCGGGGCACCCCAGGGAGTGCAGCAGGCAGGAGGGGAGCCGAGGGTGCCCGGGGCACCCCAGGGAGTGCAGCAGGCAGGAGGGGAGCCGAGGGTGCCCGGGGCACCCCAGGGAGTGCAGCAGGCAGGAGGGGAGCCGAGGGTGCCCGGGGCACCCCAGGGAGTGCAGCAGGCAGGAGGGGAGCCGAGGGTGCCCGGGGCACCCCAGGGAGTGCAGCAGGCAGGAGGGGAGCCGAGGGTGCCCGGGGCACCCCAGGGAGTGCAGCAGGCAGGAGGGGAGCCGAGGGTGCCCGGGGCACCCCAGGGAGTGCAGCAGGCAGGAGGGGAGCCGAGGGTGCCCGGGGCACCCCAGGGAGTGCAGCAGGCAGGAGGGGAGCCGAGGGTGTCCAGGGCACCCCAGGGAGAGCAGCAGGCAGGGGGGCAGCCGAGGGTGCCCGGGGCACCCCAGGGAGTGCAGCAGGCAGGAGGGGAGCCGAGGGTGCCCGGGGCACCCCAGGGAGTGCAGCAGGCAGGAGGGGAGCCGAGGGTGCCCGGGGCACCCCAGGGAGTGCAGCAGGCAGGAGGGGAGCCGAGGGTGCCCGGGGCACCCCAGGGAGTGCAGCAGGCAGGAGGGGAGCCGAGGGTGCCCGGGGCACCCCAGGGTACGCAGCAGGCAGGGGGGGGATCGATGGACGACCGGGAACAGCAGTTGGAGGAGTGGTGCCGACTTTTGGAGTTTGATACCCCCATGGCGACTGCGGAGGAGTCAGAGGCGGACGGAGAACCACCCAGTCCGCCTTCCCCATGCCCCCGTTTCCCGTGTGACACGTGTTTCCACACGTTCGCCACGAGAGGGGCCGCTGCGAACCACATGAGGGTATGCCGGGCGGCTGAGGCGGAGAGACGCGCGCAGGCACTTGGCTCGATCCCGTCTCTGGTGGAGACCGACACACAGGAGCGACCGACGCCGCGGGAATTTGGGGACGAGGCGTGGGCAGGGGTTAAGTCATGGGAGTGGGAGGCATTTTTCTGTGTGGAGGCGGTTGGAGGGAGGACAGTGCGCCGGATCCCGCAGCGGGCCCGGTCCGGGGTCTTAGACGCACTCTGTTGCATCTTGAAGCGGCTGAAGAGCCGACCGGGAGATGAAGCTGCTACCCTCCTACTCCTGGCGTTTCCGCGCCTCATCCTAGCCGTGCCTCCCAAGCCAGGCATAGGTCAGAAGGCGCTGATCATAGAGCGGCTGGGGGCCTTCTGGGAGGGGAGGTGGCGGGAGTTGTTCGACGCTGCCATGGCGGCGGCACGGCCAGCAGTTCGCCCACTTGCCTACACGTGCTCTGACCAGGACCCGGAGGCCATCCGCCTGTCACGGTGCCGATCTCGGTGTAAAGTGGGAGAGTGGAGCCGTGGTTTGGCTTGCCTCACAGCAGGAGAGTTGGCTCGACCGTCTGAGGCTATGGTGCAGTCGCTGCGAGGGAAGCACCCAGCTAGCAGTGGCGAGGTACCACCGTGGGTTCGTGAGTTTACTGTCGACGCTCCTCAGCGGCCTCCACTCACGACCGACATCCTGGCTAGAGCTATCCACACAGCTGCTCGCGCCTCAGCTGCAGGGCCATCGGGATGGGTCACAGAGCATCTGCGCGACACTTTCCTCACGGAACCTTCCTGCCTCTCCCACCTGCTGGAAGTGTTCAACCAATGGGTGGCGGGACAGGTCCCCGAGCGAGCTCGGCCCTGGCTCGCCGCATCCAACCTAGTCGGGCTTTCCAAACCCAACGGTGACGTCCGGCCGGT